AAAAAAAAAAAACAAAATCAAAAGATTCATTTGTCCTAGAGGTACATTCAATAAGACACACCAGTTAGTGGGCCAAGCAGTGAGCTTGCTGTGAGCTTGCTGTCAGAATCTGCAAAATCAGTGTGAGTGTCTCTCAGCCGTCTCCTATTTGAGCTTTTCCTTGATCTTGTTTTAAATGATATGTTCAAAGAAGTCAGGAATACCTTTCTAAAAAGGAAAGTAAGACTATGTGGTTTATTGTATAATTTCTAATAAAGTGGCTTGTCTATTCCAAGTTTTATTCATGAACTATAATGTTTAAAGATTCTATTCAGGTGAACATGAATACAGCGGATTACGTATAGTTCGACCTTCAACTGGGAAAATTGTGAATGAACTTTTCAAAGAAGCAAAAGAACATGGGGCTATCCCTTTGAGTGAAGCCACAAGATCATCAAGTGATGATAAATCAAAGGTCAGCTATTTTATTTTATTCATTTATTTTATATATTTGGTATGGGGTCTACAGGATCTCACTACATAGATTGGATTTATAGTGATTTTAGCCTCCCAAGCACTGGGATTACAGGTGTGTGCCACCATGCCAGTCTCAAATGCCATCTCAGCGCACCTCGGGGCCAGGGCCAGCACAGCATGCCGGGGATCAAACCCTGGTCACTAGGCTCTGCCTAAGCAGGTGCTTTAGTCTGCTGAGCTATCTGGCCAGCCCTAAGGTCTGCTGTTTTAAAATTAAATCATTTCTATATTTGATCTCTTAATTTTTTGGTTTATAATCAGTTTTTCTGTTATCTTAAATATTTGTTTAATTTTTATGAGACTATAATCTATTAGTGAAAGTATAGGAAGTTTCTTTTCTATGTCACTTTTAGTTTTTTAATTTTGAGATAGTCGTAGGTTCATGAGCATTTACAGTAATACAGAAAGACCCGCACCTTTCACTCGGTTTCTCCGTTTCCATCTTATATGATTATACGGTAGTACAAGATCAAGGCCAAGAGCTTGACATGGGTATGTGTGTCTACATCATTCTTCGTCATTCTGTCAGGTGTGGACTTGGGTAGTGATCAACCTAGGCAAGCTCCTGTTACCACAAGGCGCTCGCTCTCACTGCATACCTTCTTGCTGTACCCGCCTCCTTGTCTCCCACCACCCTGGGCTCCGGCTGCCACTCATCTTGTTTTCCACCTCAGTGATTTTGTAATGTTGGAAGTGTTGTAGAAATGGGATCATGCAGTGATTGTTATCTCATGAGGACCCTTTAATTCAACAGAAGGTCTTTGAGATGTGTCATATTGTTTTTGCATATCAGGTCTTTGTCCTTCGTATTCCTCGTGTCATCCTACTCCAAAATGGTTGTGCTATTTTATATTCTGGCTGTCTGAGAAATCGAGTCTCTGCGTGCTTATTAGCATTTGATATTACTATGTTTAATTGTAGCCATTTTGATAGATGTGTTGTGATAACACAGCATGGTTTTAATTTGAAAATGTATAAATGTATATCTTGTTTAAGATTTGCCTAAATTGCCAGATGTGGTGGTGTACACCTGTAATCCCAGCACTCGAGAGGCTGATGCAGGAGGATCACTGTGAGTTCAGTACCAACCTGGCCTACGCAGTGAGTTCAAGGCTAGGCAGAACTACATAGCAGTACTCTCTCAAAAAAAAAAAAAAAAATCTAAATTTGCTCAACTTCTGAATTATTATTATTTTTATGAAAGGAAACCTAAACCTAAGTTGAGTATATTTCTCTATAACATAAGACCTTTATTCTAATGTAAATTTTTTGTATTATCAACTGCTTTGGCCAATTGTGTTATATGTAGTTTGAAATATATCAGCTCTAATAATGACATTTTGATAAATAAACTTCTAGTAAATTTTTAACTCACTTGGTATATATTTTAGTCATTTACAGGTGGAGGATATAGACTGGGCAATTCCTTTTGCAAACGATCTGAATATATATATGGAGAAAATCAGCTGCAAGATGTAAGTAAAATGAAAATATGTAGGCATTTGCCTCAGTTCCTATTGCTTGTTTTAAAATTAATAAATGTCTCTGTTTAAGCATGGTTTGAAAAAACCAATACATGAGTTTTCAGTCTCATTTTTTTTTTCCTCAGTCCTGACTTAGAGGTAATTTAACTGTGGAAAGGATTTGTAACTCCCCATCAGAATGCTCTTTCATATATGTAGTTATGAATTGCATACTGTGAGAACATAAGGTGAGTTAGAAACGCAGCCCATCTGTATCATCTCAACCCCTCTTGTCTTTGGCAGCTGGGGAGCTAGCATTTCATTTTAAGCATTTACGATTGGAATGCTGCTGAACGGTAGCTGTTGCCTTCAGCATGAATGAGCGCTGGACCAGAGCAGGATGTGGGCGGAGACAAACGACCAGGTTGGGAGCAAGGGGGCATAAGCTGGATGCTGTTGTCTTTTTTTTTTTTTTTTAAGGGAAGGGTCTACAGGATATTCAGGGGCTCACTACTAGATCAGACTCATAGTGATCTGCCTGTTTACAGCCTCCCAAGAGCTGGGATTACAGGCACGCGCCGCCATGCCCAGTCTCAGTTGCCATCTCAGCGGCACCCCAAGGTTAGGGCCAGCATGGCAGGCCCTGGGATCAAACCCCCGTCCCCTGTGCCTGCTTGCAGGTGCTTTAAACTGCTGAGCTATTTGGCCGGCCCTTGGACACTGTCTTCTGAGTGGTGTAGTTTTCTCTTTACATGAGTTATTATGCTTTGAGACCAGAGTTCCCTATAGGACCTTTGATATTTATAGCCATTGTCAGTTAAGCTAAAAAAATCTGCTAAGCAAATGTCCAATTCGTGTCTCTGCATTTAAGTTATGTAAATGATGCAGTGTGTTGTGAGTTCATCACATTTGCAGTTTAATTTGTTTGATGGGGAGGGATTCTTATGCTTTTTTTCTCTGTTCAAAAGGTTCAGATTTTGCTTAAGCTGTGGAGCAATGGTTTCAGTTTAGATGATGGAGAATTGAGACCTTATAATGACCCAACAAATGCACAATTTTTAGAGTCTGTTAAGAGAGGGTAAGATATATTATTTATATTTTGTTGTCTAGAGTGGGGCTTTTTAAAAAACAATTGAAATAATTGTTCAAGTTGTCAACTACTAGTTTTCAAGAATGTATTGCATGGTAGTTGCTAGAGAGGTCGTCATTCTAGTTCTTTGTGGGGAAGGAGTGTTAGCTGTCACTCTCTTTCAGTCTGATGAATCTTTGGAGTTAGCTCTAAGAAAAAGCATTTTAATCTAATCAATGAACAGTGATTGGTATGTTGCTGCCAGTCCACTAAGCCCCTGTTCTATTACTGTTGACAGTATAATTCTCATTTGTATGTACCTCTGAAATTCAGCAGCCTCTATTACAACCTTTTAAAGTGGCATTACTGCTGGCAAGACTTCAAAAGATTATTTTGAAATTATATTTTGTGAAAATGAACCAATGCCCGGTGCTCTCGCCCATCAGAATCACATTCTTGCCGAAGGCTAGGGAATTGAGGACTTTGCTATGGTAATGAAAACTTTTCGGCATTATGATTTTACTAATTGACAATTGGATTGTTCCCAAGTAGAAATACAACTAAACATAGAAGGTTAATGAAACCAGAATTGATTATATTGCATAGCAGAATTGAAGGCAGAGTTCTTTTAAAAGATGAGATATGTTCGGGGAAGGTGCTTAAGGTGGAATGGGAATGAAATTATGTTGAGCTCATTTAACCAAGTAAGTCTGAAAAAAAAATATACTTTAGATGAATTAGCATGTGTGTTATATTTAAATTCTGAAAGTCCCCATGATGAATGTGATCCTTATGCATATCTGAATTCTACCAGTAAACTTAATTTAAAAAAAAAAATCTGCAAGGATAATGTCAGGATACTTATTGACCAGAATAAGTGCTATAAATAGTATGCTGCAATCATTGAGGCAGGTGGAAAGCTGTCCTGGGAGCCACCGTGTGGTGGAGAGCACATGGGCGTAACAGCTTAAACCGTGCACTGGAGTTGGAACCCTGCAAAGTCGCTGTGTACGGCTGAGGGCAAGTGGATGAGGGAGTGCTCAGCTGCTAAGTGCGAGCCGGTCTTGCTGTGACAATTGATGCTGATCTCCAGATGGCAGATAAAAGCATTGATTGCTTGGTTCTGTAATAAAGATAAAAACTAACTTTGTTGAGCCATACACTTTGAAGGTTAATGTTTAGACAGACGGTGCGTTGAGGTTTTTTGGTTTCAGCCATACCACCAGGTGCAAACTGGGATCAAGAAGGGTTTCAGGAAAGACTTCTTAAAGATGTGGATAGTGCCCCCAGGTGGCTTCTGCTGTATCAGACGCCTTGTCTCATTTTTACAGTATTTTGTATTGTTGTCTTCACTCTCCTGAAAGGAGTCACGGACGATATGGTCTTACAGTGCACATCTTTTCTCACAAAATAGGTACAATTTTAATTCTACCTTACAGTTGATTTAATTCTCCTGTTTAAATATATTAAATAAAGAGAATAAATTATTGGAAATTGGTAGCTATTTCAATTTATAAATGCCCAAGTATGACCACATTAGCATACATAAGAAGTCATTAGTTTATGCCTCTCTAAAGTGTAGCATTGCTCATGTAAGGGTGACAGGTATAAAAATGAATCATGAAGTACATGATGTCAGCTTAGTTACTATGAGGTTTTTTGTTTTAGTTTTCATTTCTTCATGCAGGATCTCACTACGCAGCTTGGACTCGTAGTGATGCTCCAGTTTTCTTCCTCCCTAGCGCTGGGGTTATGGGTGTAAGCCACCTTGCCTGGCCTCCCTTGCCGGTGCAGCACTCCCAGCGGGTGGTGCCAGCACAGCGTGCAGTGCCAGGGTTCAAGCCCTGGCCGCTGCAGTGGCCCAAGCAAGCACTTAGTCCACCAAGCTGTCTCCCCGGCCTGGTTACGATGAGTAGCACCACGTTCGAGGGCTTCTGAGTTGCACACACAGCGAAGCGCAGCCTGGCCTCAGCTCATGTGGCAGATGCACTCCTGGAAATGTCACAGTATGTTGACGAACACTCCCGAAGCGGCGTTTCTGCAGGAGCAGTCAGGCTCAGCAGTGTGGCAGTGCTGTCCTCCACGTGACTCTGGCACTCCTGATTCTATCACCCCAGAGCCAGTTGTAGCGTCTAAGGAGTCCCCATTTCCTTGCTTCTCACAGCCCCACCCCCACACTGTGCTACAGTAGTGTGCTGCCAGTCGCCCAGAGAGTTAACCACGGCTCTCAGTTGTCACAACTTCCTTGGGGAAGTTTAAAGATGAATGTTTACATAAGTAGTTACGTTCATAGACATTTTCTAGTGCGTAGGTATCAGCTACTGTCTTACACTGTAACTTTCTACATATACTCATAATCACTGTGACAGGCAGAACTTCTGTGCTGAGATTGCCACAGAAAAGTGTAAGGTGACTTGAAGAAAGACCTACACAGATGGTCAGGCAACATGGAAATTTTTAAGTTAAACAGAAACTCATATTTCACAGTGTAGCTCATAATTGCATTACAGTAATCTCAACAGTGTAGTTTAACTTTTTTTTTAACTTAACTAAACTTTTCCCGCATCTTTAGAGAGATTCCCCTGGAGCTGCAGCGACTGGTACATGGCGGCCAAGTGAACCTGGACATGGAGGACCATCAGGACCAAGAGTATGTAAAGCCTAGGCTACGCTTCAAGGCTTTTAGTGGAGAAGGACAGAAACTTGGAAGGTAAACAGTTACTTTGAAAAAATATTTCTTTTTTCACCCTGAATTTTGAGACAAAATAAAAAGGCCAGTGAAATCTGAGTTATGAAGACCTTCCTGGTCTAATTAGATATACTGATCTGGTAATGTTAGTAGGTAATATTTAGTTACCACCTTCCAGGTAGTTTAAGCACTTTATATGCATTGGATCTCTTAACAGTTTCTTGAGACACATATTACTCCATTTTTCAGATGTGATAATTTTTTTTTCCTTACGTATCTGGTACAGAGTCTTACTATGCAGCTCAGACTCGTAGTGATCCTCCTGTTTTCAGCCTGCCCAGCACTGGGATTACAGGTGTGTGTCACCACACCCGGACTTAGTTACTGGCTCAGCATGCCTGGGCACGGAGCCGTAGCCGTCACAGCATGCATACCAGGTAGATGTGATAATTTGCTCAAGATGATTGAACTAGGAATTGGATTAAAACACTGACATTATGTCATATGCCTCGGGGGCCAGGAAGATGGCTCAGTAGAGTTAATGCTTGAAAGGTCCTGAGTTCAATCCCCGATTCTGCCAAAAAACAAAGGCATGTCATATGCCTTTAAAGAAATTTAATATTGGCTCTTGAGGCTCTTTTTCCATTGTTGTCTCCTAATATCCTAATAGAGATTGCTTCTTGGGATAAGTAAGGAATATAGAAAGATAAGTTGACTAAGCTTTTTTTTTTCTTTTTTTTCAAAGTTTTATTGATAAACAGCAATGAGACAGTTTCAAATCAAATCGGAAGTACAGTTTCAACAAATAATACACTACATATATTCTTCTTAGTGGTTAATTGCTGTACGACTAGGCTTTTTGTTTGTTTTTTGTTTTAAACTCATCACTGTCAATCATGAGTCTACCTAGAAATGTGCTTCCTCATCTCTGACCTGCCAGCCAGGTTAGGCTTCTTCCTTCTTGGTTTGTTTGACTTTTTTTAAATTATGCTGTGAACCCCCCATTAATTTTCTAGCTCTTCTCATTTTTATTTGGTGTTTATATTTTTAATAGGAACAAGTAAAATGCCCAGTAATTTCTTTGTATATTTGTTGCATGTTTAAATTTATGACCAAGAATTTATATTAAAATGGAATATTTTAGTACTTAAATCAAAGATGATGCCATAAAGGAGACAGCTTAGAAAGAGCCATTGCTTGCTTATAATCTGCAAATTCACCACCTGAATGTCAGCATGTTATTGGGTGGTAGTATCTTACAAAGGCCAGCCTTCTTCCTTATAAAGCAAAAGAGACAAAAGGACAAGAGAAACTGATGAGAGATCAGTGTTAACAGTGCTGTGTTAACCACTAGCCATACTGAAGAGTTTTGATTGTAAAAAACAGAATCCGCTTGCTATTTTAAGTAAGGAAAGAGTTTTTAAAATAGTTTTGGCTAGTTTATTAGCACCTATGAGAGGCAGCAAACTAAGGGGGAAAACCCTAAAAGAACACTGTTGTGAAGAAGATAGTTGCGCTCCCCTCCCCATCAGGTGCTCAGTGCCCGTGAAGCTGGGGATTCTAGGACATTCCATCATGGCTGTGCTAGAAGGCCAAGGCGCTCCACCAAGTTGGTAGCCAGAAGAGCTACATAGCTTCTCCTTCACAGTAATCACTTCAGCTGTACAAGTGCAGTAGTTGTTACTCAGTATCTGCAGATGCTTAGTTCCGGACCCTTATGCATATAAAAATAAACAGGTACTGAAGTCCTGTATATAAAGCGGCATGGTGCAGTTATGCAGAGAACCACATCTACAGTGGCTGTCGCAGGAGATTGTGGGGTAGCTGAAGAATTTGTGTCCGTGGCAGCACTGGTACAAACCTCCTCACTGCCAGACTTACTAGAACTGAGTACATCTGTGTACACTACGTAGTTCTTGACAATAAATGGCTGTTGCTGGTTTATATACTTACAGGTTTTATTAAACTTTACTATAAAATAGTATACTGTGTCATCTGGGAGTGGCCTCGTACATCTCATCTTTAGCACATCGCTGGATTACATCATTTTCTCCTGTGTTTGATTTAATCTATTGTTCATCATAGCCTTAGCAATAGGCTGTGCATGCACATTTTGTACTTTAAGTATACAGTAGACTGCACAATCTTACTGCTTTTGTAAGCATATTGTGTAACGTTCACACAATAGCTAAGTCACTTAATGCTGCATTTCTCAAAATTTATCCCTTTGGTTAAGTAACGCAAAGATGTATTATGCCCTATACCTGTCCTGTGTACTTTAATTCATCCCTAAATGAGTTGTAATACCAAATACAATATAAATACTCTGTAAATATCTGTTAAACTATCATTTAGGAACAATGACAATAGTAATAATTTTTAATGTAAAACTTAAAGAAACAGTAATATGTAAAAAATATCATTATGGTCTGATGAATAACAGCAAAGTTTTAAGTAGCAAAGACTTTCAAAGCTAAATATTAGTGTTGATGTGACAACTCTTATGCTAGCTGGTCTGATGAAATTCCAAAAAGATAATTGTGGAAAGAGCAAAATTAGGCTTCTGAGAAATATTAGATACAGAACATAGAATACGTGGGAGTTTCAATCCTGTATAACAAAGGAAGCTGGGAGAGCAGAGGAGACTGAAGCGGAGTCATGTTCTGGCTACTCCAGGAGTTACTTGGGCACCAGCTGTGCATCTCAGTATCTGAATCTTCATTTTTTATGTCACATTTATTCAGATTTGTATGCTAAGTCTTGAATTCTTTCTTTTCAGTCTTACACCTGAAATAGTTAGCACACCTTCCTCCCCAGAAGAAGAGGACAAGTCTATACTTAATGCAGTTGTTCTCATTGATGACTCAGTGCCAACTACAAAAATTCAGATCAGATTAGCAGATGGGAGTCGTTTGATACAAAGATTTAATAGTACACACAGGTAAGCTTGTTTACCAGCAAGGAGTCTAGAGCTTGCTGTTACCTACCCAAGTAAAACGTTATGCAGTTAAGTAGTTGCAATATAAATACTTTATTCACTTTTGAAATAAGTTTTTGTCAAAAGAAACAAAAGGATAATAGCTATGTATAAGGAGTAAAATAGGTAATAATTAATCTCTGTAAGCCATCCAGATACTAATGTAAATGCAGATACCACACAAAAATAAACCAAGAACTGTACTTTTGCTTGGTTGACAAAACCGTGTGAAACAGAGTCAGATTTTTTTTTTTTCTGTATTTTAGGGAAGTGTCTACAGGGTGCTCAATGTCTCACTACTAGGTTGGACTTGTAGTGATTCTCCTGTTTACAGCCTCCCAAGAGCTGGGATTACAGGTGTGTGCCACCATGCCCAGTCTCAATTGTGGTCTCAGTGCACCCCCGGGGGCGGGGCCAGCATAGAATCAGATTTAATCCAACAGAGTATGACCTTAAAGTACTTATGTTAATTTTAATTAGAATAAAATTTCTGCATTAAAAATTCTACATATAAATATGTATCATGTAAACACAGTTCAATTATGCAGTACTTTAAGTAAATTATTTTTTTTTTTTTATGTATTTAGTACAGGGTCTCATTACACAGATTGAACTTGGAGTGATTCTCCTGGTTCTAGCCTCCCCGGTGCTGGGATTACAGGCTTGCACTGCTACGCCCAGTGTCATTCAGGCTGCCCCAGAGGCTAGGCTGGTGCCGCAGGGCACTTCACAGGTCAAACCCTGGTCGCTGCACTTCTGAGCAGGCCCTTTAGTCCACTGAGCTCTCTGGCTGACCCCAAATAAATTATTTTAAATGTCCCTTTAATACTGAACACTTGAGATTTATTATGCATATAAAATGTTTTTATTTATTCATTGAAGCCAGACCCTCAGGAATGCATTTATGATGATCTTTGTTGAGTATGTGTGTGTGTGTATATATATATATATATATATATATATATATGCATGCAAGAGAAGTTTTTAAAAATTATTCTTACAGTTTACACTTTAAGGCTGGGGAGATTGCTCGGCAGTCTAAGCACCTGCCTGTGAGAGCATGGAATCAGGTTTGATCCCGGTCTGGCCACCGAAACTGGGTGTTGTGGTGCAGGCCTGTAATCCTAGTACGGGGAGGCTGAGCCAGGAGGATCCCTGTGAGTCACAGCTGTGAGCTGCTGTGGAGATCCTGTACCAAATAAATAAATAAAGGAATGAATTTTTTAAATTTTTTTTCATAATAACTTACACTTTAAACTTATGCCATATGCTATTCTGCTTTTCTGGCCATACACTGCTAATGTATTTTATATTCTGAAAAAAAGTAGAGCTTGCATTTTTAGTATGAGTATTGTTAATAATTAACTGTATTCCTATTCCACCGAGGATTGTTTCTATTTTACAATAAAAGGGTCAGAAACACTCCAAAGTTGATCTTTATGTTTTAATTTGAGACTAAGATAAATTCTTCTGCTAAAATAAACAACATGTAACTTAAAGTTATAACTTTTTTTTTTTGTTTGTTTGTTTTGTTTTTTTTGTGGCAGAACCGGGGATTGAACTCAGGCCCTTGTGCTTGCCAGGCAAGTGCTTATTCTACTGAGCCATCTTCCCAGCCCCTAAACATTTTTAAATAAGAATTGGGATTGTTCAGTTTTAACCTAAAGCTTTCATAGAAATGTTCATTGAAATGAGTTAGACATACAGGCTATGGTTTGTCATGGTTTCTCTTATATGAGAAACACAAAAAAATGAATGAGAGATAAATAGAAAATCCAAGTTCAGCAAGGGTGGTGGCCCATGCCAATAATCCCAGCACTCAGGAAGCTGAGCCAGGAGGATCTCTGTGAGTTTGAGGCCAGCCTGAACTGCATAGCACAACCCTGTCTCAAAAAGACAAAAAAAGATAAATAGAAGTTCAAATACTTCCCCAAATTAAAAATTCCATTGTTTTAAAATATTTCCAGATATATATATTTTTTAATTGGTTTCATTTATACTACTAGATTATAACTTGTGTTATCTGTTTGTTTTTGTAAAAATCATTTGCTTTATGTCCTATATTCTGAGTAACTACTTTGAAGATAACACACAGCATAATAACTATTGTTGGTCTCTTACTACTTGATTATGAAATTCTGTGATTTTTTTGCCAAAAACATTTTAAATGTCTTTTGTATAACAAATTGTTATATTTTTCTTTCTTGTTTCTTCAGGATCCTGGATGTCCGGGACTTTATTGTACGCTCTCGTCCTGAATTTGCAAATCTTGACTTTATTCTTGTGACGTCTTTTCCAAATAAGGAGCTAACAGACGAGAGCCTGACGCTACAAGAAGCAGATGTTCTCAACACTGTGATGCTCCAGCACCTGAAGTAATGTCGCCCTGTCCGTGCAGCTGCACGTAGGGTAGGTCATATGTCATATTAACAAGGAAAACACTGTACTTCCAGTGCTAAAAAAGCCAAATTATTTTTGTTAATTGTACGGGTAAATTTTGGCTTTATTGGTCTTCTGTCATCCTGATGATACAGATGAATATGGACTAAGCGCAGATCCCAAGATAAATACGTTGGAATGTTTAGCTGCATGGCTGACATAGGTTGGGAGTTTATAAATCTCTACGTAAATCAGTTTCTTCCATGCTGAGTGTTAATGTAGCAACATTTGTTGCAGAGAGTGAACAAAACCTTGTTTTGATAAATGCATTTGGTACAGTTTGCACTAAAGACTCTGCTGCAGCAGTGACCAGTGGCCATTAAGAATTTCTTTGCTCAAATAAGATGAAGAAAAGTTTTGTAATATTTACTGAAAAGTGTCTATATTCTGATTTTGAAAGTATTTGATCATACAATAATTATTTCTCCTATTAAAGATTTACACAACCTTTTTACTTATTTAGGTACATTAGTAGGATCACAAAATACATTTTGTTCTTATTTTATAGAACTTTGAGCATCATAAACTGGAATGAAAATGATCCACCAATCAGCAGTTCTTACGAAGATATGACAAGCAGAGCTTTAAAATCAAGTGGCTGCAAGCCCTCCCAGGCCTACCTTGATCACAGTCAGTCAACCAGTTTTTCAGGGAGATGCTTTGTATGTGCTGCACACTCGTGTGTTCCACCCACAGTTTCCTCTATTGCTGAGCAAAGCTACTGAGGACATTCAGGAGCATGAATTCACTTAGACTGGCTCTCAAGAACGACCAGCATGAAGTCTGAGTTTCTGCTGAACCACATATTTCTCGGGTGCCGACCACTATGAGAGGAATCAGATGTGGTGGTCTCCCAACCGCTCTTCCTCTTTGGTCACCATCTCTGGTTCGTTTTCTGCTGCACCCATAACAAATTACAGAGTTTGTAGCTTAAAGTAACATAGATCTATTTTCTTAAAATTCTGTAAGTGGAAAGTTTACTGTGGGTCTCACTGTGCTGTAAAATCCAGGTGTAGACAGGGCTGAAGCGGTACTAGAGAGTCATGTTTTGTATTTCAGTTCTAATCCCTTGGCTTTTCATCCCTTCTTTCATTATAAAGCTCGCCATCATTGCCTCTCTGTGACCCTTCCATGGTCACATCTCCTTGATGTTTTTTCTCTTTTTTTGGTTCCCGGAATCAAACTCAGGACTGTGCCCTGGCCAGGCAGTCTCCTGTGCCACTGGGCTATATCATACCCAGCCCTGCCGCTCCCTGGTAACACCCAGGAAGAGTTGGCTGCTCGTGAGAGCTTAGGCGGTTCCGTGAGGCTGAGGACGAGCTCCTCCCCTTAATCCCAGCTGCCCAGGGTTTCAGTGGTTTTGGTGGTGGTAGTGGTTGTTTTCATGCAATCAGGTTACTTGCTTGTGTTTTGGGGAGTAGGACATGAGTGTGGGGGAAGGCATCACTGTGCCCACTTGCCACAGTTCACCTCTCTCTCAAAAGATTCGCATCTACCCCAGATAAATTCATCCATCCGAAGGTGCTTAGAAGTCTAAACCTGTAACAGCATCAACTCAAACTGCAAAATCCTGCTTGAAGTTCGCCACACAGAAGCCCCAAATCTCACCATTTTAAACCATCTCAGTTAAGAGCGACTCCCCAGGTGTAACTTCTCTTCACCCGTGAGCTCAGAAGTTAACCGTGTCCTCCCAAACCTGATTGCACACAGCTGTCGGATAAGCTAAGCCCTCCCTGAACCAAAAGCTGGCAGTGGAGTGAAGCAAGGAGCCGAGCAGCAAGCACACGCACGCACGGGGCCAGGCTTGCGCCCAGGCTCGTGGCCAGTGTTGACTGCGGCTCACAGGCCGTTCCTTCTCACGAACGGCACACATCTACAGCGAGCACTTCATCAGCTTGTTTCCTGCGTTCGTGTCAGCTCTCATACCTCTTAGTTCAAGATGGCAGCGTCTTCCGCTATAACACTGTTAGGAAACATGAGGGCCTCCGTGTATGTGACGGGGAGTCACTCCACTGGACAGCGGCTTCTTCACACATCCTTCCTGAATAATCCCACCTCTGCTGCTGTTTTTCCCCCGAGATAGTGCAAGTGTATGAGTCACACCCTTAGTCTCTTTAGAGGCTGAGTCCTCGGGCCTTTGGATTTTCTGAGAGTAGCCAGTGCAGTCCGGCTGCACCCTCCTCGCCCTCGGCAGGGCCAGCCTTCCTGCTGCGCATCTCTGCTCTCAGGGTCTTGCCACTGGGTGGGCTGGCAGCTTCCTCAGTCATCAAATCCTGGCTTCACAAGTATCAGTTCTTCCTCCAATTTACCAGTGTCTTTCACGTCTTACTACATTTGGCGAGAAGAAAACAGTGTTTAATAATATTTAAGTTTATTTATAAATTTCTGCTTCCCACATAGCTTCAGTGTTCAGTTCTTCTGGCTTCTGTCACTGCGCGATTAGGCCCTCATCCAACTTCCCATAATGCTTCCTTCACTTCCTCAGAGCCCCGGTGACAGCACTTCAGTGTCGAGAGTCTGCCAAGAAGGTGTGGACGGCCCTAGGCGTCTCTGTGGGGATCCAGGCCCTCCCCGCCAGCCTGTTTGCCTTTCCGTACCCTCTCTACATTAACTTCTGAATTGTTACTGACAGTCTGCTTAAGGACATTGGAGTCCAGCACGCCCCTCAGAATTGTTCCAGCCTCTGCCACTGCTCAATTCCAAAACCACTTCTGCCTTTTTTATACCTGCATACAGCACCCCACTTCCAGATATCTAGCAAAGACTTTTGTAACTAACTGCCAGTTGACTTGAGTGGGATCCCTTTTCCTGGGTCACTGGTGCTTTCAGGGGCATCACGTAGCTGAACGAATACCAGGGTGCTATTACAGCTGCCAGAGGCTGAAGTACGGTCTCCCCACCGCAGAGAACTTCCCTCAGTGCCGTGAGAGGATCTCCTGAGTCTTCCCTGACAGGAGGATGCCCTGCCTCTTTCTGCTTACTAAAAAGAAACTGGGTAATAAAAACCTGGTTCAAAAGGACTAGCAGAAATGAACTACCTTTTAAACAGAAGGAAGTCGTGGTCCTGTGGAAAGGACTTCCCGGAGATGACCTTTCTTCCCCTGCTAGCGCAGGGCCCTGCTGTGCTGCCCCGGCAAGACTCAAGCTTTGGGGATTGAGCGGCCCTTGCCTCAGCCCCGCAGGCATTGGGATCGTGGGTGTGTGCTGCGCTGCTCAGCAGAAATGGGCACTTGTGAGGAGACAGGCATTGCCTGTTTGGGGTTAACAAAACAGGAAAGATTATTTGGAACATTAATTTTTTAATTATTTTCTTGTAATTTCTTTTTATTGGTTGAGTGGAGTGGCTGTAGATACACATACAAAAACTGTTGCCATTTTTTGTATATAATGGTCTTCCAAAATACAGATTGATTTACACTAGGAGAGTTCGTCTTCCAGAAGAGATGAACAACCTGTTCATGTGTGTTACATAGTGTTTTGCTTCATTGAAAGTCATATTTCTGAATGATTTTTACTACTGCAGTCACTGTAACTTTTCAAATTAATAAGCATCTCAAAAATATCATAAAAATGAACAGTTAGACAAACATGTGAAGAAGTCGTTTTGCATGATACATGTAATCAAAAAGTCTGAAGTGTCTGGTTACCAATAAAATATGTTTTCATTGATATTCACTGAAAATGTTTTTGAAGGTGTCTTTGATTTGTAGCCCTATTAGAGTGGGTTACTTTAAACCTGAGTAACGTCTATAATTTAATGTCTGTTGATGCATCACGGGGATGGGGGGGCGGACAGACTTCACTAAGGGTTTAAGGACACTGCTGACCTAGCAGCACAGGCTCTTTCTGCTAGCTAGTCCCTGTGTTAAGGTGTGCGTGCTCTGTAGGCAACTCTGGGGCAAGACAGGCAATCGGTGGTGTGAAGCAGCTGCTGTGTGTCTGCCATAAGCCCTTCCCTTTTCCCTTCCCTCCTGCAGCTTGCATGCACGTGGCAGTCATGTGAGAAACGGCCTCCAATAAGAGACAGCACCCAGGACAGAGGCTTTTCTCACTGCCCTCGGAAATAAAGTATCAAAATGAGTACCAGATGCCTTTATTTCATGATCTTTTTTGCAAATAAAAATTTTATTGAAGTAGAAGACATACTGCTATTAATCCCCCTCCAAGTGATTCCCTCCCTTCTGAGCACACTTCTCTTCACTCTTGCCATTCTCTTTCCTTCCTGCTTGTTAGTATACATCATGATGCGCAATGAGGGCATTTGCTGTGAGAAATGGGTCCATGCACATGTCTCTGCATGGTCCCTTTGGGCTTCCCTGTCCTTCATCCACAGATCTCCCCACCTCCACAAAGCCTTTCTCCCTGTTTTATTTCCCTTAAAGTTATCTGCACTTGAACTTTCTCATGTAAAACTGTGTGGATTTAACCTTGGTGTGCCTTGGTGTTTTTCTTATCTATATAACATACCTTTTGCTATACTTTTTGATTATTTTTTTGGCCCATGTTTGTAGTATACAAGAACTACATTTTTTGTGGAGGTTGGTACATGGACATGATAGTTCTGTTTTTACCCCACCTTCTCCTCTCCCTCCACCCCCAGCATCTCTTGAACCCCTCCATGTACATGTATATTCTAAATAAATCTATACAAGATTGTAGCACATGATGACCATGTTCCCTTAGGGACTTGCTGTATGGACACAGCCCTTCACAGTCCCACCCCCTTTAAAAAAAACTGATTTCCCAACCTCTCTTCCGCCCTCCATCTTTCTGTTGCAACCCTATATGCCAAAGATCCATCTCGCTATTACCTATTGTCTGACATAAATTTTGTGCTTTATATTTTGGGGTTCTCATAAAAAATCGTGATATTTAAGCTTGAGTATCTGATTTACTTAACATATTTTAAAGATGTATCCGTTTTCCTACATATTTTCAAGTTTATCCTTGTTCACAGCAGAGTAGTGCTGCATTCTGTATAATACCACTTGGTCTTTATTCATGTTGGTGAACTTTTAGGCATTTCCAACCTTGAGTTTTTATGTTCTGTGCTGCTAGAAACATGGGTATACATGTGCCACTGTCATAAGATGTCTGATTCACTGGGAAGACACCTAGCAGGGAAATAGCCAGGTCAAATGGAGTTTTATTTTGTGTGTTCTGTTCTGTTCTGTTCTGTTCTGTTTTGTACTGCTGAGACAGGGTCTCCCTAGATAGTCCAGGCTGGCCTTCAACTCACTGTGTAGCTCAGGCTGGCCTCACACTGCAGGATCCTCTTGCCTCGGCCTACCAAATGCTAGGACCACAGGCATGTGCCACTGTACCCAGCTTAGCATTTCTATTTGAAGGTTGTTGAGAAATCTCCATACTGATTTCCATATGCTTGTACCTTTTTGCTCTCCCCCAGTAATGAAGGAGAAAGGGTTTCTTTTCCCTAAGCCTTCCCAGCATTTGTTACTACATTTCTTCATTATTGACACTTTTGCTGGAGTGAGGTATAATAGTGTATTTTTAATTTCAATTTCCTGAGTGGCTAGCAATGTTGAACATTTTGTCATGTGGTTAGTGACCTTTTATCATTTCAGATGCTTGTTTTTTGTTTGTTTGCAGTACTGGGGATTGAACTCAGGACCCTGCACTTGCTAGGCAAGCTCTTATTCTCCTGAGCTAGTTCCCTAGGCCCAAGATGCCTGCTTTTTGATTGGGCCTTCAGATTTGGGAGGGGTCTACTGAGATGACCATGTGGTTTTTGTTCTTTTTGTGCGGTGTCTTCCCTAGATTAGCGTGAGTCAAGCCATCATTGCATCTTGGTCGTGAGGTATGATGTTGCTTTGCTGTATCCCATTTGCCAGTATTTTTCAGAGGTTTTTTGCATCCATGTTCATTCAAGAGATCAGCCTGTAGTGCTCTTTTTTTTTTTTTTTTTTTTTTGGTTGAATCATTTCCTGGTTTTGGAATTAGAATAATGCTTGCTTCTTGCAGTGACTTTGAGTATTGCCCCCCTTTCAGCTTCCTTAAAAAGTTTGAAGAGTTTGGCGTTCTTGTAGAATTCAGCAATGAGCCTGTCTAGGTGTGGGCTTTTCTTCGTTGGATTTTTTTTAAATTTTTAAATTTTATTGATTAATGCTGGATTATTCAAGGTTTTTGTATCTTTTTGGCTCAACTTTGGTATTCATATGGGTGTAGGAATCTAGCCATTCTACATTTTCCATTTTACTTGAGTGCAGATTTAAAAGTAGTTGCCAATAGCTTCTTCATTATCTCTTGTGATTTTTGGCTTTTCATTTTTAATTGTGTGGATTTGGGTCTTTTCTTTCCTTAATTTGGGTAAGATTGCCTAAGCGTTCGTCTGTTTTATTATTTTGAAGAAGCGCTGCTTTGATTCTTTGTTTTGTCTTCAGTCTCATTTATTTCTGCTCTGATCTTTTTATAGTTCCTCAAGCTAGCTTTGCACCTGGACTATTCTCACTTTTTAGGACCTGGAGGTACATCGCAGGATTATGTAAGTGAGCTCACTCTGTTTTTCCGAAGTGGACATTCATCTCAGTAACCCTCCCCCTTAGGATACTTTCATGTGTACCATAGGTTCTGACATGTAGTACTGGTATTATTGTTGATTTTAGGAACTGCCTAATGTATTTCATTATTCAAGAGAGTATTGCCTAACTTCCATGTGTTTGCATAGTTTCTGTGTTTTCTTTTGCAGTTGATTTCTAGTTTTATTATACTGTATTCTGATAATATGCATGGGATAATTTCAGTTCTGCTGCATTTACAAGTATATTTATTGGCTAATGTGCGATCTATCTGGGAGATAGTTCCATATGCTGCTGAGAATATATATACTTTGTTGTTACTGGTTGGTTCAGAGGCTAGATCACCTCTGATATTCCTTTGTTCTTTGTCTAGTTGATTTCTTCGTGACAGCGGGTTATTGAGGTCATGCATCACGATTCTGTTGGTGTTTGTCTGATTTTTCTTGTTTAATAGAGTTTGTTTTCTGATGTTGGGTGTGGCATTTGCTGGAACATAAATGTTTATAGTTAGGATCTCTTCCTGTTCAGTTGTTCCCTTATCTTTTTCTCCAATTAGTTTTGGTTTGAAATTAGGATAGCTATTCCTACTTTTTTTCTTGGTTTCTGTTGTATGAAATACTGCTTTCCATTCTTTGATTGTTAATCTGTGAATTTCTTTTTAAATTAAATATATTTCTCTTTTTATGTATTTAGTACAGGGTCTATGGGTCTCAGTACACAGATCAGGCTCGAAGTGATCCTCCTGTTTTCAGCCTCTCAATGGCTAGGATTACAGGCATGCGCTACCATGCCCAGTCTCAATCGCTAGCTCAGTGTTCCCTGGGGGCGAGGCCAGCATGATAAATGT